TGACCATGTCAAGCCATCTACGTTGTCTCATATTCATATTTGGTTGATCCATAAGATATCTCAAACTCTTATGATCCTTGTAAATGGTACACCAGACCCCATACAGATAGTGTCGCCAAATCTTGAGTGCAAACACCACCGCCCTAACTCCAGATCATGTGTAGGATATCGCACATCTTGCGGCTTCAGCTGTCGAGAAGCATAAGCAATAACCCTCCCTCGCTACATAAGAACTACCCCCAAACCGGTGATGGATGCATCACAATATACAACAAAATCCTTAATGCCCTCGGGGAGGGTGGGGCCTCATATAACTTCTGTCTCAAAGTCTCGAATGCAGTCTGCTGCTCAGGCCCCCAGCGAAAATCCACGCCCTTCCTCGTCAGACGAGTGAGGGTACAAAAATCTTGGAGAGATCCTGAATAAATCTCTGATAATACCTAGCTAGCCCCAGAAAACTTCTGATCTCCGATGGAGACTTCAGGAACTCCCACTACATAACAGTCTCAATATTGGTCGGGTCGACCGGAATCCGAAAAATCAAGGTCAAATTTATATTTTTAAAACCCAACCGAAAACCGCAATTGTTTACAAAACATTGTTCTCAAAAGAAATAATCACAAATCAGAGTATCTCTAAAATCCAATAACATAAGACTAGGAGGATGTGCACGATCATGCCTTTGCTTTTCCACGATAATCTGAAGTACCCGAAACGTAAAACTTAAATTATAAGCTAAATCTTAGTGAGCTTCCCCTAAAGCACCACACACAAAAAGAACATATAACAACATGCATAAATGAGCCTTCAGCCTGACTGGACCGTCGTGCAGGGCCCACAGCCTATCTGGGCATCTCTCCGGGCCGTCAGCCTAACTGGACCGCCTTGCATGCCTTCAGTCTATTTGGATTATGCCAGGGTGTCTTGGCCTTCAGCATAAATTAGGACCGCATCAACCCAACAAACCATAACATGTTGACATATACCAAAAACAATCAATAACCAATAACGCAGGTAATCATACAGATCCACCAATCTAATGCATACTCAGTGAACACAGTTAATTAGATCTATCAATCTAACACATACTCAACATAACATCAAACCAATATACTACGATCCATGATCCAGTGGGTCAGCATTGATGCCTTCGACCCACAAGTACAGTGAGAGAAAACTCACCTCACAGTCTGTAAAGATAGTTGAATAGGTCACAGCTCTGACTGCTGACTCTACAGGTCACATATACATTTAAACAGTGACCAATACTTAACCACAGCTCAAAATAACCAAAATACCCCTAAGTCAAACTTGGTCAAAAGTAAATTTAGTCAGTCGCCACGTCGTGGCTTGCCTCTAACCACACAATGGGGACTACATGAAAAAACAGTGGCAAGGTAGCTATCTGCCACGTCGTGGTGACCCTGGGGACTATTCACGCAGCTTAATCTAATAAGCTCTTAATCCATAAAACCAACCATTCAATCTTCCCAGATGGCATTCTCTCATCCAATTGACCATAAAAATTGTTGCTTTATAGACATGCATGTCCAGTGCATGTCTTGAGCTCAAGCTAGGTCAAATAGAGTAAAAAAGGCAAAGATCTCATGCAAGAGTTCAAAACTCTATAAAACTCCAGATCCAACACTCCTAACGACAAAGGGACTCTAGGGATCCATAAAGTTGGCAACTTTATGGAATCCCAACACTCCAATGAGTCCTAACATGAAGAATAAGGCATAAAAACCTAGATCTATGCACAAAAACCCAAAAGATTAGAACCTGAGGACTTACAAGAGTCCATAAGATGCACAACAAGATGATGAGAAGAGTTGTTTGTTGAATCAAAGTCCAAATGACACCTTCTAGAGAAAAAATGGAGGTTAGGGTTTGCTTGGAGGCTGGAGAGTGTGATGGTGGTTCAGGGTGAGCAACCCTAGCCATCACATTTCATTAAATAGGGGGAAAATGTCAGATATTAGGGTTTCTCATTAAACAGCCACCACGTCGTGGCCACAGGCTGCCACGTCGTGGCGTTTAAAACTGCGATAGATCGACCATCACCACGTCGTGGGATGCCTTCACCACGACGTAGTCCCGTCCAAAATCCAAAATAAATTAAATTTAAATACCTCCAAGAATCTGGATGTTACAGCGTTGTTGCCTGTTCCTTGTTTGGTTATGGCTCTAGAGTAGGATCGTCTGTCCGGGTGGCTATTTCACCTCTGGTTACATATGGTTATGCATTCTTTGCTAATTTGGTCCCGTATCCTTGTGTATAGGATGTCGTTATGCTGTAGTGATTTACTAGATATATATATATATATATATATATATATATATATATATATATATATCCTGGTGTGATAGGATGCAGCAGCAGTGGTATACTAGTTAGAGTACCAGTAGGTAGGTTATCGTCTAGTGGAGTGTCCTAGGGACTGTACGTAGTCATGTAGGATTTCCTGAGAACTCCTGATCTAGGCTTTCTTGCGTGTTACTTGTTTGGTTGTGGCTCTAGAGTAGGATCATTTGTTCGGGTGGCTATCTCACCTCTAGTTACTTATGATTACACATTCCATGGAGGTTAGCTGGTAGCGGAGCATTGTGCTGTGAGAGATCTAGTAGGTGGTAGCGAGTTGTATGATTGATATTGCTTGTATTATGTGCCTACTTGATCATTGTTTGTTTATATGTCGACATATGGTGGTGGTTGAGATTGAGGCGATCCTATTGTCTGTTGTAGGTCAAGATACCTGGTGCGAGCCAGCTGCAAGCCGTAGGCACGGAGGCTCGGGAAGAGCGGTTAGGTTGAGGCGGCAGGCCAACAAACCCTGGGTATTCCAGTCCGGTGAGTGATTAGGCCCGTTGCATGTTGACATTCCAGTCTGATGACTGATTGGGACAGGGTATTCCAATCAGATGATTGTAGGCCCATTATGCATGCTAGTATATTTGTTGTATGGGTATTTTGGGGGAAACTCACTAAGCTTTGTGCTTACCCAGTTGTTTATGTTTTAGGTTCTATCAGTGATCGTGGGAAGGCGAAGGCGGGATTGTACGCACTCATCAGCAGCATCGAGGATTCCACATTTATTATAATACTCTGATTTTCAATAAATGTAATTGGGAATAAATGGTTTTTCTTAGAATAGTTTTATAATTGGGAAGTTTTACCTTAATAAAAATGAAAAAAATTTGTTGTGAAAATGGGACATTATATTTAGATCCAAAAGATATTGAGACCAAGGGACCAGGATGAGCTATAAAGTTGCAAATTTTATCTCATCTAACCAACCCAAACTTGAAAATGGGCCAAGAAATGCAATAAATCCTAGATCTATGGAGAGAGAACCAAAAAGGTGGAAGTTTTATACCTTCCTAAGCTCCACCAGATGTAGAAAATGCAAGATCTGGAGTGATACACTCTTCAACTAGCAAGCAGACCATCTTTTTCTTCAAGGGCTAAAATCACCATAAAGAGCTCACAAGTTCAATATGAAGGCTAGGGTTTCTTGGAGGGTGAAATGGAGGTGATGGAGACCAAGGGTGTGCAAACCATAGCCCTCACTTCCTTTAAATAAGGGCACAAATCCCTGAATTAGGGTTAAACACCCAGGCGGCCGTCACGTTGTAACCAAAGGCTTGTCACGTCATGACACACAAGATTGAAACGCGTTTATACAGATATTGTCACGTCGTGGCAACCCATGTCCCATGTCGGCACAAGGTTTTTCCCAAAAACCCCATCTTTGATCTGATTAAGTTTTAGCTGATCCACTCTAGAAAACGGATGTTACATAAACATTTAAAGATAATGACCAATGGGCCACATAATACCCACACAAATTGGGATCGCATCATATGTTTTTATCAAATTTATCATATTTATCAAATGTATGTTTTATCAGATTCATAAAGTGTATGTTTTTATCAGTAATAATTGATTTTTTTCAGACTTTTGTGAGTTTTTCATTTTCAGAAAAAAAAAATGATTGAAATGAAGTTTGTAATTTTGATTGTTTCTTATTTTTTATATTTAACGGATACCTATGAACCTAACTTTGGTGACCCGTCTTCATAAGGCTCGGTTAGGTTCGGTTTCAGTTAGTGCTTGCAAGGTAACCTGCCCCGCTGTCACAGTTCATAAGTTTATTACTATCCGATCTGAACCTCTCCATGAACACCCCTAGGCAGCAATTAAGATTGTAACTTCCAATTTTAGCAAACACACACACACGAAGGGTTGCTTTAATGCCATAAGATATCCCAAATCATTCAAGCATCACAATAATATAAATCAGTGAATGGTGTAAAACAAGGTTGTTAAGATTGAGATTTTAACTAAGATCATTTTATGTTTTGCAGATTATAATCGTAAGATTAGATCAGGATCGAAAAAACCCTACCAAAATAAACTTATAACTTGATGTCGATTGGGTGTGCAGTATACATTATAACTTGATGTTGATTGGGTATGCAGCATACATTATAACTTGATGTCGATTAAGACGTCAATATGGAGGCAACTTTAACTTTTTAGACATGAATCATAATTTTTGTTGCTGCAAACCGTAATAATTAAGAAGAAAACATCTTAATTACAAAAAAAAACAAAATCGTTATGATCTACAACTAAAGACTTGAGATCACAAACAAAATATCATAAATATAACTTACCTACTTCAAGATAATAATGGTCTATGAAGATTTTGCAACTTTTAATGTTCGATTTCAAGTTAAATAGAAGAATTTTTTAAGCTCGGCTATATAATAAAACTATAGAGGTTGGATTGGATCGTATTAAGATCTTACTCGGATCCTAAGATCTCACTATAAAGCTTGCTTCAGATAGATCCTAATAAAATCAAGATTGTTTTGGCTTGTAGGATCTTAAAAACATAAGATCTTAAATCAATATTGAGATATTAACAACCATGATGTAAAGGTATCTCCAACTGATAGATTAAATACGAGTACACGTATGCATACATATTTTCCAGCCACTATGTCTAAGCAAAAAAAAAAAAAAAAAAGTTAATCATCATCACTTTCGTCGCTATATGAAACAAGGCCAAGCCCCCTGCCAGTAGCCGCCACATTCACATTCTGGATAGATCCCTTATCCTTAGCAGCATCGTGTCTTTTCAGTTCTTCAAAGTTGAAGTTAACCTGCTCACCTATCCTTGCTTTCTTAGTTTGAGGCTTCACTTTTATAACTACCAATGAATGTGATTTCTTTGCATGTGATTTCTTCTCCCCAGTTGATTGTTTTTCCTACAAGCCAGCCAAAAAAAATTCATGTATAAATAAGGAAATACAAATTAAAAAGAAGAGAGTTCAAAAACATGTAACAATCAGAACCAACCTCAAGTTTAGGAACCACATGAGGTGTTTCCTGTAGCTCCTGTAGCGTGGCAGCTTGTGCAGCCACTGCTTCCTACATCATAAATCAGAAAAAGTAAACACTTTAATAGAAAAACAAAGCACTCGTAACAAGAAGATCAAGGAAGACATGAATCACATTTTAATGACAAACACACTTCACATTCCAAAAAAAATAAATAAACAGACGTCCTTGGAGGAGGTGTAAGTCTAGCCTAGTAGAGTGCATGATGCTTTTCCAGTAACGGTGATTAACTGAAAGGCCATTGGACAGCAGATCAGACTGAATCCAGGCTATGAAAAAGTCATAATTATAAAAGCAAATCACAAATTTGGTCCCTGTGATTTTGCCACCAAATTTGTAATTTACTCTAAAAATAAAAAGGCTTGTCAACTCTGCTTTGCACAGCAACCAAACACTCTCTGAGTAAGTTTTAAGATCTAATATGTGCATGTGTGAAATACAAAATCAAGAATGCTATCAGGAGTAACAATAATATATGTGCATGCGTCAAAGACCATGTTTCACTTAAAGCAAAAATGATGGTTGTGAACTTACTTGGAAACTCCGCAGCTGTTGGGCTTCATCATCTGCCAATTGCTGCTCATATTCTCTCCTTGACTAGACAAACAAATGGGTTTTCAGAAAATAACTTAAGTTACAAAAGAAAAGAAAACCCAACATATTTGTATTTTGCAACCATTCCGAATCCACCCACTATCATTTGCTATACAAAATACATGATGTCATGATGATAACAGTAATCCATCCCAACTCCGTTAACCGGTGGATCCCTTCCGGCCTACATCTTTTATGATCTCATTGGAAATCATATAAAGACAAGTCCTATTTGATATAACTATTTGTTAGGATCAAGAACCAACTGTATTTTACTGATCTACTCTAACAATAGCTTCACAGATTGCTGCATTAGATGAAATGAATAAACTCCAAAAAGTATCAAGATATGTATGATTGTTTAGTTGCTGGCATGGGATGGGAAGGCAACTACATAAGGAGGATTGAGATAAGATGTACTAGGAAATTTTTGCAACATTGGATCAATAATAAACAACCTTTCCAGCCTACCATGTCCTGTCAAGCACCTTTTGTCAACAGGCCAGACAAATGAAAATGATGATGCACGTATGTATGTCTAAGCAGAAACGATTTCGATTTAGAGAACTAATCCATGATTCATGACAAAGGTCACATAACATCATGTGACCTATAAACATATCAATCACATAGAATTGGAATGGCCAACTAATGAGGTACACCATATCAGGATTGTGTGACTGAGAATAATAAAGTCAAGGAAGGCCACCAACACTAGACTAGCTAGCTAAGAATGTTGTGGTCATGTCATGAATGTTGGTAAATGACAGCAGCCAATCTAGCAGTAATGAGTAAACAGTGAAAAGCCAACTGACTCCCTCAACTCGCAGCAAGCCTTTATGCCAAATTTGCTGGGGTACACTCAATCTAATGACCATATAAATACATCAGTAATATCAAAAAAGATAATCACCAGCTCTAGCCTATCAAGGAACTCGGTCTCATCTTCATCTAATGCTTTTGGAGGTCCTGCAATAACAAAATATAGAAATAAACATTCAACTATTCGGCTGTCTCAACAAACCAAAAAAAAAGGGAGAATTTCATATAAGCCCTTCTTAAACATCAAAATATCATATTTACCTAACTTAATTTCTAAATATCATATTTACCCTTCATAAAATTTTTAAATATCATATATGTCCTTTTTAAACATCAAAATATCATATATGCCCTTCTTAAATATCAAAATATCGTATATGTACTTTTTAAACATCAAAATATCAATGGTAATTTTTAAAATATCCTCCATCTACAACATGATAATAATCAACAACAACAAAAACTAAACAATCAAAATATACATTCCATAGAGAGGGTTGAAGATGAATCTTTTTGTTTGTCAAGAGGGAGACATTCCAACAATTTAGAAGTTCACATTCCATTATCATAGACGTAAGGATAATATGGTTAAAATTTTTAATTATTATAATAATTCTAAGGTATAAAAAATGATTATAAAATATTAAAAACATTATAAAAAAGGATTTGGGAAAATATGATATTTTGAAAGTTTATTAAGGGTAAATATGATATTGAGAAATTAAGATGGGCAAATATGATATTTTCAAGTTTAAGAGGGGCATATATGAAATTCTCCCAAAAAATAAAAAATAAAAAATAAATAAAAAATAAAAAATAAAAACATGTGATCCTACTTGTCCTTTATAGACAAAAGAACATGACTACTTTACTAACACATATAGTAAGATGTAAAACAGCTACAATCACACATAAATCATGGATTGTAGCAAGGCCACCAGAGAGTATCAAACAAGTGCTGCAGGCCTAACTCGTTTGCATTATGCATAATAGCATTAAACCTTTAATGACCATTTTTTTTCATGTCAAGTATGTGCTAGAAAGCATCGGTGAAGCTAAACGGGACCTTCCAGTCCTATAATATATATATATATATATATATATATATATATATATATATATTACATCACTATTCCTCTTTGGTGAATCTCCCCCAATGGAGGCGACTTCTGCATAAAGTTTACAGGCACTCACTATGCTTGAACCGTTCGTTGAACTCTGCATCTTTCTTGTCCTTGTTCTCCTTCAATATCTGACCAAATTATTTAAACAAGTAAAATCAGTATTTGTAAAATGATAAAGCACGCTTGAAAGAGCTACAAATGTAAATGTGACAGGGTGTCACTCCTATTAGAATATGAAACACTAAACATTATATAGGATTTCTTTAACACTACATGAATCGGAGCAAAAATACCAATTATGCCTACCTTGTTACAAATAAAGTCAATTAAAATAATGGCTTTGTGAGAACCTTTGCAAGTTGGTATTCAGTTACTGGATCAATGAAGGGTTAATTTGCGTTCCACAACAAGCTTTCGGATCAGATGACAACCAACTTAAGGTGTTTGTTACTCTCATACAATAATACTTTTGATCTCTTGTTTTTTTCATTCCTTCTGGCCTGGAAATGGAATGATATATACTTATGATTATAAACTACTTTTATTCATATAATCTTCAATAATAATTATCTTTTTAAAAATTTCAAACTTCAATTATATAATTTTTTATTTTTTAAAATAAATAAAAAGTATTTGTTTACTATAACTATATTTCAAGATATCGTTGTATCTAGTTCTTTTTGTATAATTTTTACATCATAGATAATCGATTTTAACTACTTGTAAAGCATGCAACACGTATTTTGAACCAAATAAAATATGCACATACGCAACTTATTTAACGATATATCTTTATTTAGTTAAAGTTTAATTATATAAAATAGCATTTTTTTTTCTTTATTTATCAAGTTTACTCTACTTCATTTTATATTTATTGACAAAAACAATAGTTTTAAATGACTCATTCCATTCTTTTGAGCCAACCAAACATGACAATGGAATGTAATGATCCATTCCATTACCTTGCTCATTCCATTATTTTGTTAATTGACTTAATTCCATTCCTTTGTCATTCCATTCCATCATACAAAACAGATCTTAACCATGTTAGTTTTGTCCTGCTGCTGTTACAATATTGCAGTAATAAATTTTTAAATCCAAAGAAAGTAACAAAAAGAATTCATATTTTTAGACTATGCAAAAGATGGGGTATTGTCTTCACATATTATATATGAGTAATGACTAGATTTAGTGGAAGTAATAAACTAAAAACAAGAGATCAAAAGTAGAACTTGAGGTGTATATATATATATATATATATATATATATATATATATATATATATATATATATATATATTAGTGAAAAAGATGAAAACAAAAAACCTCAAAAAGGGGGCGATCTCTGTGCGCAGTTCCATCCTCAACTCTAGGTCCTCGAGTTTTCTTGGCTTCATCCAACTGTCGGACAGCATCCAAAATACAAGTACAAATATTTTATTAGGTTAACCTGAGGGACATGAACAAAACTCGGTTGAATTAATCGTGCTCTATTTTCAAATTCAAAACTGCTAATGACAAGCTACCAAACACACTCCTTGAATAAATAAGCAAATAGATTTTCTCTAATTTTCGTTGTGTACTAGAAGAGCAACATTGTAAAGTGTCGCATGATATTAAAAAAAAAAAAAAAAAAAAAAAAGCAAGCAATGACGTCTTAGAAAAAATATAGAAAATTGAATTGGAGAGAGAATCAAGGACAGCAAGCAATGACATCTTATAAAAAAATACAGAACATTGAATTGGAGAAAGAATCAAGGAACGAATGTTGGTTCACCTGCTCCTGCGATACAAAATTCATCAACCTGGTTGGCGGAGGGAAACCTTCGTCCGTCATCTCCCCCCTCTCTCTCTCTTCTGTGCGTGTATCTCTTTTTCCCTCTCTTACTCGCCGCTTCTTTTTGTGTTAGAAAGATTTCTTAACTCCTGTGGAGGTTGTTGGCAACTTAGGGGGGTGTTTGGGATTGCTTATTCAACCAAATAAACATTTTTTTGATAAAAATGTTTATTAGCTTATATGGTGACAAAAGTAAGTTTTTTAAAAAGTGTTT